AATTCCATTCTTGATACAGTTCAGAATGCTCTTTGATTGTAGGTGAACTATAAATCCCAGCAACTACAACTCCCAAATGACAAAATCAATCCCAAACCCTACCAGTATTCAAATTTGGGCGTATTGGGTATTTGTGCCAAATTTGGTCCAGTGAATGAAAATACATCCTGGATATCTGATATTTACAATACAATTCACCACAGTAGCAAAATTAGAATTATGAAGTAGGTTGGGGGTCACCACAACATGAGGAACTGTATTAAAGGGTCGTGGCATGAGGAAAGTTGAGAACCACTTCGTTAAAGAACCACTTCACTTCATACCTGAATGTAAACAAGTATATAGTTTTAGGCCAGGCTTTCTGTCCATATAGTCTAAAGTAAGATTTGCCTAACAGTGTTTATTAGTGTTCAGGTGTTATGGAAGATGTTCCCAAAATATTTGACAACCTACAAGAGTTCTCTGGTGGATGCTCTGTGGTTCTTTGAAGGGCGAGTCAATGTTGGACATGTCCTTTGAACGTTTGAAAACATCAGCTGGTTGCTACATTTTGGAAGTGAGAAATAGTCTCGGTTTTTCCTTGCTTGTTTGGGGGAGCAAATCACTGTAGGACTCAGCCAAACCTACCTTATTTGACTGTTTTGAGAATACAAATTCACAACTCTGTTTTCTGGAGAAATGTGTAACTCCAGTGAACAATACCATTCCACGGCTCTCCTTTCTCTGCTAGTTTCTGCAGGCACTCAATGGAATTCAAGTCTCGTAAATTCTAATAAAATTACTTCATCATAAAGCATGCCCAGTTCAAAGTACAACAGAGAGAAGTTTCTTTTGGTGGCTCATAAATTACTAGTCCAGATAAAAACAGACTCTTTAGAAGCAGAGAATATGATAACCAAGAGCAATTACACAATAGCGTGGTTTGAAGTCCTCCTTTAAAAAAACCCTTGTGGTTCTGACAGATTTATTTATTTATCGTATCATAAGCAAACCAAGGGTACAGTTGTATTGTATTTAAAAAACACAAAGTTTAAAAACTTGGCATTATACTAAATGTCCTTTGACCAGTAGCTGGCCACTTGGAGTGCCTCTGGTGTTGCTATAAGAAGGTCCTCCATTGTGCATGTGGCAGGGTTCAGACTGCATTGTAATAGGTGGTCTGTGGTTTGCTCATCTCCACACTCGCACGTTGTGGCCCCATTTCTTGAGGTTGGCTCTGCATCTCGTGGTGCCAGAGCGCAGTCTGTTCAGCGCCTTCCAAGTCGCCCAGTTTTCTGTGTGCTCAGGGGGGAGTCTCTCATTTGGTATCAGCCATTGGTTGAGGTTCTGGGTTTGAGCCTGCCACTTTTGGACTCTCACTTGCTGAGGTGTTCCAGCGAGTGTCTCTGTAGATCTTAGAAAACTATTTCTTGATTTAAGTTGTTGACGTGCTGGCTGATACCCAAACAGGGGATGAGCTGGAGATGTCTCTGCCTTGGTCCTTTCACTATTGGCTGCTACTTCCCAGCGGATGTCAGGTGGTGCAATACCGGCAAAGCAGTGTAATTTCTTAAAGTTGGCTTTACATTTTGTGGTGCCAGAGCACGATCTGTTTAGCGACTTCCATGTTACCCAGTCTTCTGTGTGCCCAGGGAGGAGTCTCATTTGGCTTGAGGTTCTGGGTGTTAGCCTGCCACTTTTGGACTCTCATTTGCTGAGGTGTTCCAGCGAGGATCTCTGTAGATCTTAGAAAACTATTTATTGATTTAAGTCATTGGCGTTCTGGCTGATATCCAAACAATTGACGGGAGCGAGAGCATCCCCGGATGATCTTAGATTACAAGATGGGACGTAGGGGTGGATGCGTTTGGACAAGTAAGCTGGGCCAGAACCGTATAGAGCTTTATAGGTCAAAACCAGCACTTTGAATTGGGCTCGGAGATGGACTGGCAGCCAGTGGAGCTGGCACAACAGGGGGGTGGTACGCTCCCTGTATATCTCCCCGGTTAGTAATCGGGCAGCCACCCGTTGGACTAGCAGAAGTTTCCGAACCGTCTTCAAAGGCAGCCCCACGTAGAGCGCGTTGCAGTAATCTATTCAGGAGGTAACCAGAGCGTGGACCACCGTGGCCAGATCAGACTTCCCAAGGTACGGGCGCAGCTGGTGCATGAGTTTTAACTGTGCAAAAGCTTCCCTGGCCACTGCCGAAACCTGGGGTTCCAGGCTCAGCGATGAATCCAGGATCACTCCCAAGCTGCCAACTATTGATTTTGTATAAAGTGGTTTTTAGGGTTGTTGATTTCTTAATTTGTGGTTAATTGTGGCTACGGTTTGATATTTAATCCTACCACAAACCGCTCTGAAATATCTCTGTGTGAAAATGAGCCCTAAACAATTCAGTAAATAAATAAATTCAATCTTTCACTAATAAACCTTTTTTTACTAGGTTCTTGTGGGTTTTTTCGGGCTATAGAGCCATGTTCTAGAGGCATTTCTCCTGACGTTTCGCCTGCATCTATGGCAAGCAACCTTTTTTTTTTTTTACTTTCCCATGAATTGACGAGTTTACTTCGATGACTGTACGGAATGTAGCGGAGAACCTTTGGCTCAAGAACATCTTCTGCAGATTATCTCAGCCCTTTGATGCCACAAGGGAGTGGTTTTCAGTTGTGGCTTATGAGCAATTGTGACGCAATTGGCCCTAGTGACCTTTCTTTAATATGGAGCGTGGCATTTCTTGGCTGGAAATGATAGCTTTATATATGATAATAGGTCTTCTCAGTTATTTTGACCACAGAACTTCGGGTTTACTGGCTATTAATGAGCCAACAGTCAGTTCAAGTATGATAGTTCCTTCCTTTGGTCTTCACTGATGATCTCCCATCAAAGTACTATCTAGGGCTGACTTGGTTTCCAAGATTAGGCAGGTTTTGGTGTTACCCTTCTATTTATTTTAGCAAAGTAAATACCATTATAAGCATTATAGCTTTGAATTGCTGTGAGATTTTTGGGCTGTATGGCCATGTTCCAGAAGCTGGACATGTGTCCAGAGGAGAGTGACTAAAATGATCAAGGGTCTGGAGAACAAGCCCTATGAGGAGCAGCTTAAGGAGCTGGGCATGTTTAGCCTGAAGAAGAGAAGGCTGAGAGGAGATATGATAGCCATGTATAAATATGTGAGAGGAAGCCACAGGGAGGAGGGAGCAAGCTTGTTTTCTGCTTCCTTGGAGACTAGAACATGGAACAATGGCTTCAAACTACAAGAAAGGAGATTCCATCTGAACATGAGGAAGAACTTCCTGACTGTGAGAGCTGTTCAGCAGTGGAACTCTCTGCCCTGTAGTGTGGTGGAGGCTCCTTCTTTGGAAGCTTTTAAACAGAGGCTGGATGGCCATCTGTCAGGGGTGCTTTGAATGCAATATTCCTGCTTCTTGGCAGGGGGTTGGACTGGATGGCCCATGAGGTCTCTTCCAACTCTTTGATTCTATGATTCTATCTATGATTCTAAGCTTTATTTATTTATTTATTTACAGTATTTATATTCCACCCTTCTCACCCCGCAAGGGATTCAGGGCAGATTACAATGTACATATACATGGCAATCATTCAATGCCATACACATACAACACATATAGACAGACACACAGAGGCTATCTAACATTCTAGCTTTTTCATGAGGGTATTTTGGCCACCAGGGGAGCTGTTGCTTCACCGTCCATTTGTGACGCTGATTAAGTACTTCCTCATTCTTTGCATACTTACTGGAGATTTTTATGGTGTTGTAAGTTAGCCTCCCCTTCGCATTAGCGGTATCTGAATTTCCTACTTGACAGATGCAACTGTCTTTCAGGCTGCAAAAGTCAACAGCAAGCTACACAAATTGTTTGGAGATTAAGATCACTCTGACCCGGGCTGGCTTCAAACTCATGGTCAGTAATGATCTTAATGCAGCTGACTCCTAGCCAGCTGCACCGCTGTCCTGGTGCGTTCTCTCCTGATGTTTTGCCCACATCTATGGCAAGCATCCTAAGAGGTTATGAGATCTATTGGAAACTAGGCAAGTCGGGTTTATATATCTATGGAATGTCCAGGGTGGGAGAAAGACCTCTTGTCTGCTTGAGGCAGGTATGAATATTGCAATTGGCCCTACTTGATTAGCATTTAATGGCCTTGCAGCTTCAAAGCATAGCTGGTTGCTGCCTGGGAGAATCTTTTGTTGGGAGACATTAGCTGGCCTTGATTGATTCCTGTCTGGAATTCCCCTGCTTTTTTAGTGTTGCTCTTTATTTACTGTCCTGATAGAGTTTTTAAAAATACTGGTAGACTGATGTTGTTCATTTTCATGGTTTCCTACTTTCTGTTGAAATTGTCCACATACTTGTGGATTTCAGTGGCTTCTCTGTGTAGTCTGACATGGTAGTTGTTAAGTGGTCCAGCATTCAAGGTGGCTAATTACAACATTCACACTTGCCTCTAGCAGACAAGAGTTCTTTCTCCCATCCTGGACATTATTTCACAGATATATAAACCTCACTTGCCTAGTTTCCAACAGAACCCTCAACCTCCAAGATGCCTGCCATAGATGTGGCCGAAATGTCAGGAGAGAATGCTTCTGGAACATGGCCATACAGCCTGGAAAACTCACATCAACTCAGTGATTCTGACTGTAACAGCCTTTGACAACACAATATAGATGTGGTATAACAGCATTTCTTTCTCTCCGGTGGACCAGTACCATTTTTGTGCCTGTCGGCAACAATTGTTTATATCTTGGAAATATCCATAAATTGCCAAAAGACAATTTGTGGACTGGCATTGATCATAAGCCACCAGTTCGAGTAGCACTGATACTAAGAATAAGATGCTTGCTTGTTTAATAGTATGTTAAAAATCGATCTCTGTGCTATTGAAATAGACAGCAACAAAACAAAAGAGATGTGAAGATAGGAAATTATTTCAAGCTGGAAATGTCTTTGGTGTTCTGTTTCCTAAAATCGATACCTTTGCTTGATCTTCAACAGGCCTACGGAAAATGACGGAGTACAAACTTGTCGTGGTTGGAGCTGGTGGCGTAGGTAAAAGCGCACTGACGATACAGCTTATCCAGAACCATTTTGTAGATGAATACGATCCTACAATAGAGGTAAATTGTTTTCTGTGAAGGGTGCATTGGGTGGTCCTACACTTGGGTTTTCATGTTCAGAAATGGAAGCCATTGGTCTTCTTAAATCCTAATAGAAGGTGTATTTCTATTCCGTTCTTTAAAAAGGGGAAGAATCCACAATCTAGACTGTACTCCTTGAGTGGCTAATAATTATTCCTGTCACCTTTCACAGCTAAATGCTGCTGTGACATACATCTCATGTGTTTACTAATCTTTTACACTGTCTGATCCTTTCTCTTTACTTCCCCTAAAATTCTGGATATCCTCAGGTACTAGTGAGCCATGTCAGCCACACCAGTTCCATCTCTTTGTTGCCCTTTGGAAATTCAGAGCCTGTCTGAGAGTAACGCCCCACACTTCCTGCAAAGAAAGATGAATTGGGGCAGATTCTGCCACTATTGACGTACTTACTCATCGAGGAACCCCAATGAACTTGAGATTGAGGAACCTCAGAGAGTTCTGGAACACAGTTTGAAAACCACTGATTAAGTGATTTATGGATTGCATCATGTGTCTCTTTTCCTGGCAAGAGACGCTGCAACACTAATGTTAGAACAGCCTGTCCCAGACATGGGCAAACTTGGGCCCTCCAGGTGTTTTGGACTTCAACTCCCACAATTCCTAACAGTGCAGGGCAGGCCAAGGTCTTTAGGCACTGCACCCAGTGTGCCGATCACCACTGGGACCACCTTTACTGGCTTGTGCCAGAGTCTTTGCAGTTCGATCTTAAAATCCTCATTTATTATTATTATTATTATTATTATTATTATTATTATTATTACTACTACTATTATTATTATTAGAAACATAACAAGGTTAGTACACAGCAAACAAGATCACTCTGCTGGCTCTTGTATTGGATCATACGTCGGACACTTCCCAAGTGTCTAGGACTGTGTGAAGTATCGGTGAATAATGTGTGCCGATCCCAGTAAAGTGGCCTTCTGCAGCTGGAAGATGGTAATTTTGTCAGTGCCAATGATGGTGATGATGATGATGATGATTATTATTATTATTGTTAGAAACACAACAAGATTAGTACACAGCAAACAAGATCACTATGCTGGTTGTTGTATTGGATCACACGTCAGACATTTCCCAAGTGTTTAGGACTATGTGATGGATCGGTGAATAAAGTGCAAATCCCAGTAGAGTGGCCTTTTGCAGCTCACAGATATTATTATTATTATTATTATTATTATTATTATTATTATTATTATTACAAATGCTGGGTGGCCATCTGTTGGGGTGCTTTGATTGTGCATTGCACGGCAGAAGGGAGTTGGTCTGGGTGGCCTTCTACTGAAATACTGTTAAGTTGATGTTGCTAAATATTGTTCTTCATTTAAAATAGTTTATTGTTCTTTTTTCCTTTTTTGCATTGTGTGAATTAGTTTACATAAATATTCTCTATCCATCTGCCACTGGCCCGACCCATGTGTGATATATACGCATTATATATAGTGTTGTGGTTCAGGCTGAGCCTGAGCTTTCTGAGCCTGAGTTTCCTCAGGACGAGGAGGATGCTGGGTTACAGATTTCTGAACATGTTCCGGTTAGTGAGGCAGATGAAGCAGACAGTGTTGATTTTGAAGAAGAGACGGCATTTATGTTCCCCAGAGAAAGGAATATGGCTTTAGATAAAGAAAGTGAAACTTTGCAGCTCCAGGTGGAAGCTCCTTCTGGGAGCTCAGGGCCTCTTGGTTCCCAGGGTGACCAGGCCCAGCAGGGCCATGATAATGAGCTTCTGGCCTTGAAGATAGTGGAGAGTTGATTAGACAGGATCGCTTACAATTAAGGGTTTGCAGAAGCGCACACCTTGCCAACAAACGTGAAGCTAGATGTCAACGTAATGCTTTCATGTTGGGAGAACATATTTAATGATCTGGTCGAAGGGCATTCTTTGTCAGTCCAATGTTGCTTATACCCTGTTAACTTCTGTGGATACCTTGGCTTTTGTGGAAAGCTTCTGGCTCTTTGGGACTTTGATTTTGATCCTGATTTTTGGAGACCTTGTCTTGCTTCCATGGACTCTTGTTTAACCAATTCTTAAGGACTATGCTTTATGTTATTTGCCTCTGGATAGGCGGCCCTAGGTAATTTTCAACGGTAAGCAAACAGTATTTTGGCCCCCCCCCCCCCCCAACCAATCACTGATATATATTTTCTGTTTGTCATGGGAGTTCTGTGTGCCATATTTGGTTCAATTCCATCATTGGTGGAGTTCAGAATGCTCTTTGATTGTAGGTGAACTATACATCCCAGTAACTACAACTCGCATATGTCAAGGTCTATTTTCCCCCAAGAGCGCCCCTGGGCAAAATCAACTATACTGCAAATGCTTACTTTGCGTAATGGGTTGAGCCGCCCCTGGCTTCATGTTGTTTGCCTTTGGATCTTGGGAACTTTGCCTTTGCATTTAAGACTCTGTTTTGCCTATTGAACTTTTGCATCTTTATTTCTCTGTTTTGATTTTGCTTTTTCTCAATAAACTACAAAACTACAGCCTTGGTGTGTGGTGGTGTCTTGAGCAAGGTGAATCTATCCTGAGTTGCGACATATAATGTACTATATAATACAGTAAACATTTCTTGGGGCTCCACGGGAAACTTTTGTTCCAAAAGGGGCTCCACAGCTAAAAAGGTTTGAGAACCCCTGCTCTAGTCAATTATTTTTCATCATTGGTCCTCCATATGTTTTGGACTTCACTTCCCAGGAGCCCCGGCTAGCTCCCAGTGGTCCTGGATTCTGGAAGCTGAAGTCCAAAACAGTTTGTTGTGCCTCTGCTCACAGAAAAAGGTGTAGAGGACCTGAAAGACATATTTTTCTCCCATTCTTTTGCATTCTCAACCAGAGAGCTCCAGTCTTCTTTCCCGAACCTTTCCTTTGTCAAAACAGTCTAAGGCTTTCATAAAACGATGGGTCCCAGAATCCAATGAGATGGAACCATGACTGGTGTCAGACTACTGCAACTGCATAATTCAGATACACACGCAGCCTCATAATCCAATATTAGCTGGGGATTCTGGGAATTAGTCAAAAGGGTGACTTTTCCAAGCTCCATGTAACATTACTTTATTGCTGTGGGGTCCCCACTGTTGTGTGGTTGTAAAGTTGCCCTATAAACATCCATACTTAATGGAGGGAAGTACAGAAATACAAATAAATCAAGGAAGATGAGGCTATGGATGTTGCTTTTTAGGTCATATAATCCATCTGCCCAACCACAATAGCCAAATGGATATTTCTGGAGTGTTTGTCAGCTGGGCAAAGTGGCGATTTTGCCAATGAACCTTTGTTATTGAAGTGTATATTAACTCAGATAACTGAGATTGCACTTCTGGCTAATATCTAGTGTTAAATCCGTTCTGTATTTTAAGATGATAAATGGAAAACGCTACTGTCATCACAGCATCGTGTGCTGATGGGTTCACCATGACTAATATCCAAGTAGTTATGATTGTGCCTCCAAAGAAAGGGCAAGGATCTGGACAAATGCAGTTGTGCTAGTGCTTTGTTTTCATCTGATGCGACAGATTTTATGATCTACCCAATAGCCTTGAGTTGGAAGAGTAAACATTGCCGTCTTGATAACGCAACTATTATATTACTTGTAAACAAACCTACCTCATTCTTCCATTGTTTCGTCAATACCAGTCTGGTGTGTGTGTATATGTGCCTTAGTTCAGCAAATCGGTTGGCAAAGTAGATGATGGATTCAGATTTGAGTCACTGTTGGTGTTGAGCTGTTTAGTGGTCATTCTTTTATTTTATTGTTCTTTCAAGGTGACATGTCTGTGAGTTCATCTACATCACATGTGTGAAACTCAAGACCCTGATCTAGACTTTGCTAGTTTCCCACCCATGATTTAGAGTTGCCACACTTTCTCCCATGTCTACTCACTCACATATGGCTTCAAACGACAGGAAAGGAAATTCCACCTGTACTTCCTAACTATGAGAGCTGTTTAGCAGTGGAACTCTCTGCCCCGGAGTGTGGTGGAGGCTCCTTCTTTGGAGGCTTTGAAACAAAGGCTGGTTGGCCATTTGTCGGGGGTGCTTTGAATGCGATTTTCCTGCTTGGCAGAATGGGGTTGGACTGGATGGCCCATGAGGTCTCTTCCAACTCTATGAATTCTATGTGTTTTTCAAAAGCTAATAGGATTGAAGGATTAATCTGTCCAAACACCAACCATTGACTGAAGAAGGTTGTTGAAAACTACGTATTTTGGGGCTACACAATACTATATGGTACCTCTTCCCTTTCTTAAAGTCGATATGAAACAGGAAATTCATTAATATTTCACACATACGTATATACCTAGTATTGTCCAGGAGTCATTGGGACTGCTGACCACCTGCTTTCTCCTTTCTCCAGCTCTGAAAATGTCTGTCTCCCAATGCCTCCATGGCAACATTCTGGCAACAGCAGGGAAATGCTCTTTGTGTCTCTTTCTTTCCTTCTTCCATTTCCCTCTTGCACCCTCTCCCTTTCTGTTTTCTTTCTTTTCTTCTTCCCTTGCTTTCTCTCATATACCTCCTCCTCTTCCAGCTTTCCTTTCTTTTCCTTCCTTTCTCTTCCCTTCTTTTTCTCTCTTCCCTCCCTCCCCTCATCCTCTCTTCTTTTATCTTTCCTTTCTCTCCCCTTCTTTTCTTTCTTCCCTCCCTCCGTCTCTTCTTTCTCCCTCTCTTCCCCCTTTTTCTTTCTTTCTTTCTCTCCCCCTCCCTCCCTTCCTTTCTCTTCCTTTCCTTTTTTCTCTTCCCTCCTTCCCTCCCTCTCTTCATCTCTCTTCTTTCTTTTCTCTTACCCTCTTTTTCTCTCTTCATTACTCCCTCTCTTCATCCTCTATTTTCTTTTACCTTTCCTTTCTCTCCCTCCCTTCCTCCCTTTCTATTCCTTTCCTTTTAATTTAGTAACATGTTATAATAAGCAATATGTGTGTTTGGAGCCCCCGGTGGTAAAGTGGGTTAATCTGCTG